ATGTTTTTAATAAGTGTGACATTAAGCTGATTAATCTATAGTCATTACAGTGTTGTAATATATGTGGACTAGAGGGTGGGAAAATCTTCATTACTGTACAACGCTGTCACCACTGTAACATCCTCGATGTGAACTTTAAGGATACTTATTCCTGCGAGCGGCTGCAAGGCTTACTGGTCCCACTACTCTGAACTGGCTGGCTCGCCTTCGTGGATTTACAAGAAGGTAGGGAATTCTGGGATAGGGGTTAAGGACTTCTAGTCTCAGGTCCTGTAAAGAGTTTGAGTCTATGGTCTTACTTTGGAAGCCGGATAAATGTATAAGCCGAAATTTGGTACTCTTCTGGTCTCTGTCTGAATCGGCCGGGAAGGAACATTAAAATCAAATTTCGAATCTACAAATATATTAAATATACTATGTGATTTACAATTGAGTTAACAAGCTGTCAGTTATAACCAATAATAATTCGTTCAGGTGCGAAGGGAGACGAGAAGAGACCTTAGCAAGAAAGTAAAGGGGTGACAATCTGTACTATTATATATTACTCGGGTTAGTATATAGATTTTTGTTACCTTCACGTATTTAGGTTCTAGCTAATGAATACGCCCTTCAGTTTCTCTGGAATTTAAGTTCAGTTGTGGAGAATATCGCGTTCTGACATGAACTTTTCACTCGCCCGGCACTCAACGCTTTATACTAACTATCTCCCGGCAATCAAAACAATTGCACGTTTCACCGTACCGAAGCCGCCTATCGTCGCGCCAGCTCCCCCGTCGTAGTACTGACTCCCTGGCCTCCTTCGTTCTTTTTATTGAGCTCGTATTCTCAAATGCCGATTGTAGTGTCACCGCGGGGGAACAAATAGCGGTCTGAACTCCTTCTATTTCCTCCGGGTGCTCTGTAGAGGACTTAGGAGACGTCAACGAATGCACCTCTACCCAAGTCTATTTACTGGATATAGACTTGTAAAAATTTCTTCTGATGACTCGTCTTGAGAAAGATGAGTTTTTTCTTACATGACTTATATGTGAGAAAGTCGAAACAAACATCAGGTTGTAGTCTTCGGTGACTTGCCTTGACAAAGGCAAGATATTTCTTACATGAACAAAAAGAGGTAATCGAAATAAAAACACCAAATATTGTTGAAATAAAAATACTCAGCCACAGAGTATAGGAAAGCCAAAAACAAGAAAAGCAGCGCCCCGAGAGCACTAAGCTCTCGGAGAGCCCGTGAAGGACTGACTTATTGACCTGAAAATCGCCTATTTTTATACTTTCTGAAGTAGCGATTAGGGATTTCCAGGTCAGGGAGGGGCCAACGGGAAAAATAAGGGGCGGGGCGATGCGTCTCGAACGTGAACTAGTCGCGTCCGAGAACAGTAGTGCCAAGGTCGAGTTTTTGCTGAGTCCTCGTGATTTAAACCAGGTCGGCGCTGGAGATATTTTCCAGAGTAGGTCTATGTTTATTAAAACGTGTTTGTATTTTCTTTTTGAACAATTGTTGCAACTTATATTGGCTCGTGCCATGCAACTAACTGGGTCAAATTGTTTTTCTTTGTATAATTTAAAATGTATACGTTACTGTATCGAATTTATTTTTAATTTAATGTGGAATATATAATAATTATTTAAATGATTATTATTCTTCCCTATGCAACTAGCCCTTATTTTTTCTATTCTTTATTTTCTTGCTGTTTAAATTACAGTGTTTGAGGTTCTTGGTTTTTGGTAGTAGAACAAAGGTCTATAGCAGCCATTCTGTAGGTATCTCACCAGATTTGTATGTTTGCTCATTATTAATTTATGTTTTTGTCTGTACTTGTTTGGGTTTTTGTTTTTATATTTTCTTCTTTGTTCCATGATTTCCAGTATTACTTGAGTTATCCAAGGTTTTCAGCTTTCTGTTTTCTTTTGTAGAGTTTCTTTCTGTGTTTTATGACAGAATCTTTGATTTTGCTCCACATAATGTTCACATTCTCAGTGTTTTTCATTTCTGATGTTAATTTTTTCACTTTTTGATTAATACAAGTTGAAGCCTCAGCACGGATTTCATTTATCTTGAGTAACTGAGTGCTCACCTTACAACTTTTGGATTTTATGTTTTTTACCCTCAGTTTTATTTTTGAGACACGGTGGTTATGGTCTGAGGGGACATCTGCTCCAGGAAAAGTCTTAACGCTTAAAATGGAATTTCCAAATCTTGGATTGGTTAGAATAAAGTCGATCTGCTCTCTAATGCAATTTTGTTCATTATCCTGTGGTGACCTCCAGGTATACTGTCTACGGGTGGTAATCAAAACCATGTGTTCATAATCGCCATTTTTCTTCTTGACAAAATTGAGCCAATCTGTCGCCTCTAGCAATACATAGAATAGATCACTATTATTTTGTATGTACTTTGTGTACTGAATTATGTACATAAAATGTTCCCATCACACAATTAAGTTAACTGATATTAAATTGTCTGCAAAGTTTTTGTTTTTATAGATATTTATAACAGACAATATAATCTATAAATGTATGTTACATAATACTCTAATCAGCTAGATTGACTATAATTTATAAATTGAATATCTCAATCTCTTACAAGTTTATTTGTTATTTTATCATTATTAGATTTTTTGGAAAAGCATCTAAAAAACATTCTTACCTAGCTATAACTCCAACAATAACCCAGACCACAATGTTAATAGAATATTGGAATAAATCACACTGACACAGAGCTGGACTGGCTCAAAAAAAGACGCCTCTAATAAGCTTTTTAAACCAAACTTTTTTCAAATATTAACGCATATAAATAACTCAATAGCATTTCTGAATTTTTTAAGTTGAATTTTAATTTAAATCCATAAGTTTTAATAACAGTCAAGGTGAGCAGTTTCCCACTGTCCATTATACTTTCCTTATACACTTTTACACTCCCTGGCAACTCCAATAAATTTTTAAAAATTGTTTGTAATTTTTCAATTACTCTTACAGCAGAATCTAGTCGTTCAAAAATTTGAAAAAAAAACATCTTAATTGGTGGTCAATAGAGAATTTATTGTTAAGGATCCATAAAAAGTACTTACGAAAATGAGAGTATTCAGTTCGATTTGATTCAGGTATCGCTTAGATTCGATTGGATAACCGATTCGATTTGATAATCCATTCAATGGATTCAATTGGATTCAAATTCAATTATATTTGATTAGATAATCGATTGAACTCGATATACCATTCGATTCGATAATTGATTCAATTAGATTTGATACGATTCATTTATTTAGTAACAATTTGGGTTAGAGACTAATGGCTACTGATTTGCTCATTACTTACTCATACTTACTCCGTGGCGTTACAACCCTTCATGGGTTTTAGCCGACTCGACAACATGCCTCCACTGTTTTCTGTCTTGAATAACCTCCATCCAATTCTCCACGCCCATAGTGCTTAGGTCTCCTGCTATATTATCTCGCCATCGGAGACGAGGGCGTCCGCGTAGTCTACTTCCAGTTGGGACTTCCTCCCACATTAGTCTTACTGGAGTCTTCTGGACTTTATTTCTTTTATGATGTTGGCAAAAGTAGCTTTAAAGGTAAAAGTTCTTCAAGCTCTTTATTAGTTCTTATCCTATATTGTCCTGATGCTTCATCAAGCACCGGACCAAAGATCTTCCTTAGGATTTTTCTTTCCCAAACACGTAGTCTCTCTTCATTTGCCTTTGTTATCGTCCACGTTTCGCTTCCATACATCACAACGGGTCGTATGATTGTTTTATAGACCTGTATCTGCGTACGTCGTGTTAGTGGTTTTGGTTTTAAGGTTTTGTAGGGCAAAAATATATCTGTTGCCGGCCTGAATCCTGTTGTTTATTTCTTGTGATCCGTTATTGTCTTCAGTTATTGTTGTTCCAAGATACTTGAATTCTCTAACGCGCTCAAAGTTAAAGTCATCGATGGTAATGTTCTGACCGATTCTGTCTCTGTTTTGGTTATTGCGGCTCATATACATATATTTAATCTTGTTTTCGTTGATTTGGAGCCCCACCTTCTCTGCTTCCTTCTCAAACCTTACGAAAGTCTCCTTCATCCTTAATCGCGTGTTTCCTATTAGATCTATATCGTCTGCAAATGGCAGTAGTAAGTTTGGTCCTTCTCGATGAAATACTGTATTCGGTTTTTCGATTCTTGCACTTATGATTATGTGCTCCAGAGCTAAGTTGAAGAGTTGTGGTGAAAGTGCATCTCCCTGTTTTAGTCCATTGTTTATTTCAAATGTCTCCGAGTATTGTTGTACAACTCTCACCTTACATCGTGACCGTTGCATACACATCCGTATCAACCGGACTAGTTTTTTTGGAAAGCCAAGTTCCTGCGTCGCTGTCCACAGTCTGTCCCTACATACTCTATCAAATGCTTGTTTAAAATCTATGGACATCATTTTGCATTATCATTTGCTCATTGTGCTGGAATAATCAGAATCTTTTTCGATACGTTCATTTGCCAATCGTCTTATAGTTGGCAAAGAAATTCCTAAAGCCTCAGTTACATGCTGAACACTAGGTAAAACAGATTCATCAGATAGTCACTCTGTTTGCTTCACCTCCGTTTTAATGTGTTTATTCGATTTTCTACAACTTTAACTCGTAACCCACGTGCCCGCTTTCCTGTCACTCACCTATACCAAGCAAATGTCTTTTATTTTTACGTTCTATATACGATGACTCAATAATTTAGATGTCTTATTTAAATTTTATACAAAAAATTCACTTGAAATATCAACCAAGTTTCTACAAACGATAATTAACCACTACACATAAAAACAATAAAATTATTAAATGATCTCGTTATTTTGTAACCCACTATATGCGAGAAATGCTTATATCGTAAAATGAGCGATAAAGGTTTATTATTTATTATTGTTTATGATAAGAATGACTAAACATTTAGCGTTTTCAGCGTGGAAGGTTTATTGCAATCATGGAATCCCACATCGGACTAGCATACGGCGGAGGTGTCCGCTGCATCTGGAGGTGAAGATACCGAGGAAATGGGCTCAGCGGATGCCAATCCTTTACGAAACGGCTGCGATGACATCTGGACATGGGACAGAAGGGAGAAAAGTCCAGAGGTAAGGCTATATTTTTATATTTTTACTCGCCACTCGATTATAATATAATTTCTGTTCGGTTTCTTTTCTTAAACTTTTTTATTCCATCATTACGCTTCTGAAGGTTCTTCTAACGATATTTTCTTTTGCAATTCTTTGTGGAAATAATTTATAGACCTAATCTTTCTATTGTTTCTAATATAAGATTGTTATCTTCAGGATTTTATAGTTATATTCTTCTTTCTTATCAAGTCTATGAAATTATTTTTTAAATAAATGGATTTGAGGAATTCTGTGAAGAACAACACCTTACAACTACAAACACGTTCTATTAAAATCATTTACGGAGATTTTACACATGGCGCAGCCTAGATGGACTAACAAGAAATCGAATATATTACATTCTAATAAGATCTAGATAGAAATTGTCGGCCATCAACTTTAAAACATATCCTGGCACATACTGTGGAAGCGATCATCAACTCCTGGTATTGAACATTCTACTTCGTTTTAAAGTCCAAAAAAAAGACCTCTAAGAAAAGTCATGTCTCTAAATCCATCAAAAATCAATTACTTCCAACATAAGCTAGAAGAAGCTCTTTCTTTAGACCATGTAGATAGTGACCGTAAGCCGTGGATATTTGATAATACCTGGACTCTGATTCAACGCAGAAAAGAACATAAAATTAGATACGGAACAAGCGATGAATACAGAGTGTTATCGAAAGAAATCAGAAAACAGTGCCGCAAAGACAAAGCTGATTACATTTCTCAAAAATGCAAAGAGATGGAAAAACATGGCTGTCGAAATATAAGAGATATATTTCAGAAGATCAAACTCCTTACCGGAGAATTTAAATCTCAAACGTGGTCTGTAATAAAATGTGAATCCTGGGAATAAGGGGAACATTTTTTAATTATAGCATCTTAAATGTGCATACCCCTACAGAGGAAAAGGAAGACGTTGTCTAAGAAAAATTATATGAAGAACTAGAAGCTGCATACCATTCATGCCCCAAGAATGACATCAAAATTATTTATGGTGATCTCAACGCAACAATAGGAAAAGAGCAACAATACCTACCAACTATAGGTAAGCACAGCCTTCATGAGGTATCCAATGACAACGGCATCAGACTAATAAATCTAGCAACTTCCCTTAACATGGTCATTGCCAGCACATGCTTCCAGTGAAAAAATATTCATAAGGGAACGTGAAAATCTCTAGATGGGGTTACAGTAAACATGATCGATCATGATATTATTAACTCTAGACATCACTCATACATAATAAACGTATGGAGCAGACGAGGGGCAAATGAAGACTCAGATCACTACCTAGTGGAAAGTAGAATAAGAGGCAGAATCTCAAACATTAAAAAAGAAAAGGGATCAAAAATTGAAAAATATTAAATAAAAAACTTAGGAGACAACAGCAAAAAGGCAAAATACAAGGAATATATAATAGGAAGGCTAGAAAACAGACAAAATCACGAGGATATAAACAGAGAATGGGAAGCATGTAAAAACATCATACAAGACGCGGCCAAAGAGTCTCTGGGTCTACAAAATCTCAAATCAACTGAAGGACAATGGTTCGATAAAGAGTGTCGTAACATAACAGAGAGGAAAAATAATGCATATCAACGACTACAATAACGACATAGAACACGAAAGGCAGAGGAGGAATATAGAATGCTAAGGAGGGAAGAGAAGAAAACACACCGGAGGAAGAAAAGAGAACACATAGAAAAAAACTCCAAGAAATGGATGAACTAAATAAACCATCAGAAATTAGAAAATTCTACCAAAAACTTAATAAAAGGAGAAAAGAATTTAAACCCAGAAGTATGATATGCAGAGATAAAGAAGATACAGTAACTCAACAGAGTGAAATTCTACAAAGATTGACAGAATTCTTCAGAGAAAAGTTTGAAAAAAACGAAGTGGAAAAAAACGAATGATGGAATTATACTGGGTCAAACGGATACCAGAGAAACAAAACCCTCCCCTTTATTAGCTGAAATACAAGAAGCAGTTATCAGACTAAAAGACAACAAGTCGTCTGGATTAGACAACATTAGCGTAGAATTAATAAAGTAAGGCATAGACTCCCTATTGAATGCGATATATGAACTAATAGTGAACATATGGAATAATAAACAACTGCCACAAGACTGGAATACCGGAGTAATTATCCCACTACATAACCGATGATTGTGTATGACACATATAAAAGGGCGTGAAAGAAAATGACGTATATGGTGCAGAAGATTTAATTTAGCAGAAAATTTAATAAAGACAAATCTATCTCTCAAAATATCAAGACGAGACTGGTGAATACCCTTGTATTCTCAATATTTCTAAACGGGACAGAGACTTGGACTGCGCATACCTAAAACGTTTGTGCGAACTATGCTAATTTAAAAAAAATCTATATACATTTTTTTCTAGGTGAGGCTGCATGGTCCAGGACTTCGCATAGCACATTTTCATCCAAACTGGAGTAGTGGTACTGCCGGAGTAAGAGGCACTAGGGTACTTAATAATGGAAGATATTTCTGGGAGTTGCATTTATCGAGAAGGATCTTTGGAACCAGTATGATGTTTGGTATAGGTAGGCTATCATTTTCATATTAGTTGTATATTTATCAAGAGCGTTTTCAAAACCATAGATCTAATAATTTTCTTCATTTTAAGTCTCAGGCATCAAACTTCGGTACGTCTTTTCAAAGAACTTTTTACAATTCTTCTTTCTTTCTTCTGTTATTTTCTGTCGTGTTTCAGTTTTTAGCCATTGAACTTTAGTGATGTTGACTTAGCTATTTCAAAAATAAAAAATAGTAGCAGCAAAGATCCTGATGGACTTAATATATAATTGTTCCACCATTAACAACTGTAATAAATTAATTAAAATCTAGTAATACTTATACTTAAGTTTTTAAAATTGCAAAGGTAATACCTCTGTTTAACAATAAAGGATCTACTGATGATTACAAACAACCGTAGCTATTGATCATTTTACCAGCAATATAAGGGTTTGAAAAATATCTTGACACTCTTGCATCGTTTTTAGACCCCACTACAGCTTATTGTATCATACATTGTGTTCTGCTGAGAAAACTTTTTAGTCATCTATTGATTCGCATCTGTCGAATCGTGATCAGTATATTCACTTCAACCAGTATGGTTCTCAATAACAATTTCTGATGTATGGTCTCCCTCAAGGCTCGGTTTTGGGAGCGGTATTATTTCTCATTTATATTAATGTCCTAGAAGACTCTCAAAACGAGGCAGTGAGTTTTATGTGCTGATGCTACTACTTTTTATGTAAGCTATCACTCTTCTGAATTTGACACTCTTGTTTACCAAACACCTGAAAAAAACTTATTCAATTGGTTTTTAACTAACCGTCTCTCTTTAAACAACTCTGAATCACAAAGTATTAGTTTCACTTTAAGTAATAACACTGATATTGGACCCATTGCTCTATCACAATGTGCAACCTAAGAGGAGGTTCTGGGGATACACTTAAATGCAGGATTAATTTGAGAACAACATATAGTTAATTTAACGAAAAAGCTTTTCCGACAACTTTTCCTTTTTAGAAATCTTGTACAAGTGACTTTCAGGAAAATCATATTAACAACTTATCACAGAAACTCTCTCCCGTTGTCACTCTTATCATTTATCATATTAATGAAGTGTTTTAGTGTGTTTTGCATAAAACTTATAGGTGGCTGGTTAAATGAATTAGAAATAATAATGGAAGAAAAAATGCAATATTCTGATTATGAATAAATTAGCGGAAATAGCAAATAATAATTGTGAATAAATTACGAAAATTGGCTGACTTTACTCACTGCTGTTATCTGTACAAAGAAAACGACTTACCTTTTGAAATATGGTGTATTAATTATTGTAGCCAGTGAAATAGAATAGTAGATACGCTTCGCGGGGTTTAGGCACACCGAGGCACGATACGCTGTAACCGATAAACTGGGGTGTTTTCCGTTTTCAGTTCGCTGTCTCGATGAAAAGTGTGTCTTGAGGTGGTCAGAAAAACCCTCTGGCCTTTCTTAGGTGGTCTATGGAACAAGTGCTCGCCCTATTGTATGGCGTTTTTGATTGACGATAATCTAACTTAATGGTCACCGAAATATGATACTTTACAGCGGTTTCTGCGTTTGCGACGTAATTTCCAAAATACCAAAGGGAAGTCAGATTCTTTTAACTTGAAAACAGATGTGTTTAAGCCAGTTTAACAATAAGATTTTACTGAATATCTTTTAAATTAAATTAGTTAGAATATAGTCTAGAGGTGTGCTTATTAGTTCTTTTAGACGAACTAGTTCAAGAAAACTATTTCATAAAAATGAACTAGTTCAGTGAACTAGTTCGTGAAAGAACTATTTGTAGGACCAAAATCGAAATCCAACCCTAACATAACTGGTTGCCAGATGTCTTGTCTCAATCATCACACAAGCTCGGCACCGGCCGCCCGTTTTCTTCGGTTTTCAGTCAGTCTTTCAGCACTGTACGGCGTACAAGTAGTTCGGATTAGGAACCATTTCTTTCGATCGTACGTTTAGGTTTAAATGTTTTAAATTATTATATGATAAGTTAGTTTTTCTTTATAATAATTTATTTTCTTAATCAATCCCTAAATATGAGAAATAGATGTTTTTATGGGATCATTTCGAGAAAAACGATAAAAATCAAAAATCTGCAAAATGTAATTATTGTTGATGTGATGTTAGTATTACAAGTGGTTCACTGGGCAGTTTATCAAGAAATTTAAGAATGAAACACCCTACTATCAATCTCAAATATCTCAATGTTGAAAGATACATAGAAAAAGGACAGGAAAAATCAGAAAATACATTTGAAGAACCTCAACCTTCAACGTTAAAATCAGTTTCGCTAGTAGCACAAGCGGGGGACGATGAAGAGAAAGCAGTTATAATTCTTAAGAAAAGCCTGATCCTAGCCCCCTTGTTTCTATCAGGGACTATGTAATTCGACCCGTTCCATTCGAAATATATGATCTTATTAATTCATTATTTTCTTCTTTAGAAGTTGAGACACAATTTATCATGCAAATCGTTCGCAGTGAACTAGTTCTATGAAAATTAATGAATTAGTTCAATTAGTTCAGTTAAAAAAATCGTTCATTTGAACTATTTCGATGGTGAACTACACATCCCTAGAATATACCATTAAAAAAGATCATATTATAGTACAGTAAAAGAAAACATTTTTACATGTATATGTTATAGTACATATTTTACATTTACATTAAATGTAAAATATGAAAACAAAGACTAAATACTTTAACAAACAGAGTGTGTTTGCGTAATATCTCTAGGCTTCGGTATAGAGCAGATCAATACAATGCTTATGTAGATTTTCACAATAAATATCTCACTAGAATCATTAATAATCTTGTAACAGAATTTGGCCACCTTGAAAGATCCAGAAATGATTCAAGGTATTTAGCCGTTATTAAGTTTTATAACATAGTGATAGCTAGAGTAAAGGCTCTTAACTTGTTTTAATTCAAAACAAAAATTAAGAGATACCTTCTAGTAAATTCCTTTTTTTTTTATTTGAGGATTATTTTTCTTAGAACGACACGAAGAGAAGAATAGGACAAAATGTGACGGTCAACACCTTCAATTTCAAAAGAGTACAACGTTTTAAGTATCTGGGGAATCACAGCTGACAAGGATGTTACTGAGGAAATAAAAGACAGAATCCAATCTGCAAACCGCTGTCTATTCGCACTGGATAAGCTCATAAAATCAAAAAATCTTACAAGAAGTTCAAAGATCAAAATCTATAAATCCATCATCAGACCTGTAATAACATACGGATGAGAACCGAGGACCATGACCAAAGCTTGGCAAATAGACTTGTTTTATATTTTTATATTTCTATTTCTGTAAACTTTGTAAAAGTACTTTGGTAATACTATTGCCAATAAGCTACCTATCTATCATTGTGTCGTCGTTGAAATATAAGTTCCATGAATGTATTGTATATATAGTTTGATGCTTCTGAGTATTTATATTAGACTTAATGGTATTGATGTGTTTAAGGTACAAAGAAAGCCCGTCTTCACGCAGACTCGTTCACGAACCTCTTAGGCAAAGATAACCAAGGCTGGGGATTATCCCACAAAGGACTTCTCTGGCATAGCGGTAGATGGACTCACTATACTAAACCATTTCGAGAAAACGTTCCCACCAAAATAGGTATTCTCTTCGACGGTATAGCGGGTACCATAACGTACTACAAAGACGAAAAATGCCTCGGAGTAGCTTTTAGGGGCTTGAACGAAATTAAAGAGCCACTCTACCCAATCATATGTTCAACAGCAGCTAAGACTGAAATGCTTCTCGACTCCATGAAAAGAGACTTCGTCAATCTTCAAGACAGATGTAGAGCAGTAATAGTAAAGGGAATAAAAAATAAAGAAGACTTAGAGAAATTGTGTCTGCCTCCTAAAATCAGACAGTACTTAGGAGAAGCCATTCCCGACGTGGTTCAACCTTTCAAGCCAGTTAATCAGAATGTTGAAAATTTAGGAAATATTTGATCTTTTTGTATAACCTTAAGTGAATCTATAGCTTCGTGAATTTTGTATCTTGTGCCATTTTAATTATTAAAACAAACCTTTACGGCTGTTTCAACTGAAAATTGTCGTTTATTAACAGATATAACTGATAATGTAAGCTATTTCTAACAGCACGACGAAAATTAACAAGACAATCTAAAATTTCTCCAAAATGGTAAAAGCACCTATTGATTTGGGACATCGTAAGTACATTAAACAAATTTAAAGATGTTTATTTTGTTAAGACTAATTATTAAATTCGAATAATGCATACATTCCATTGCCATCTAATGTTTATAGGTAACCAATGCAATTGTAAGAAAATTTTAAAAGTGTACAATTTTTTCTTACTTCTTAATTTGTATTTTTGACAGATATCCTGACACGTATTTCAATATTCTTTTTATACTTTATTTATTATAAATAAAAATTGACTTAACTCTCTAGTTAAAATAATATTCCTGGATATGGAAATGGCATGTGGATATCCATCATTGATACAATTTTCCTTCATTCAACTAGAAATACCAAATTAAAACACATGATAATAGCTTTAAGAAGATATTTACCAAAAACATTCCAGAAATCGTTTTATAAAACTGGATAAAATGATTAAAATTCATTAAATAGACGTTCATGTAGATATGTTTAGAGGTCTTAATTTGTTGGATTTTTAGCATGGATGATATTCCGTAAAAATGTATCTTATAGATTGATACTCATTGGAAGCTCAAGCTTTGGAATAAAACTCAAACAATTGTTGTCGTGGATAGCTTTCCCTAAGTTCTAGTTACATCTTTTTTGGTCGGACATTTAGGTGTACAAATAGACCACAGCAATCCCAATTATAAGGCAATACCGCAGTCAATCTGTGAAAAATTATCGATTTCACGTCTCTTGTAGAGGTTTTTGAAGGATCTGAAAGGTATATAAGGCATAGCTAATGACAAATCCTTGATGACCTACAGCTGGTTTTGATTTGTTTTTTTAAACGATGAAAAAAATAAAAATTTTAGACCTACAACTTTTATTTTAATTCTCTAAATCATTTTTAACACGAATATTTGATCTATGGTGGATCGGTCGCTTTTAAATCCTTCCTAGTATTCACCAACCTGCTTGATTTAGGCGAGTACCTTATATGTTACATCCAGAAGAGTCATACACCTGTAGTTTTCGCACACTGCTTCATCTCCCGTCTTATGAATGGGACATACTATCTCTCGCTCTCAGATTTTCCATTGCTGCCTCCACTTTAATCGTTTGTCATTCTTCACATGATTTCTCTTATTTCTTTCGCAGTAGGAAAAATTTCCTCCATTGCTATGGTCATGTCGTTGACTTCCTCTGCCATTTCCACTTGCACCTCATCATTTGCATCCAGTTTTCATTAAGCAGCTATCTTAAATGCTCTTTCCATTTATCTATATTTCCCTGCTTATCTTCTTTACGTTAGTAATAATTTTGTTTTTCTTGTGCCTTGGCTACTGCTCGTTTTTTCTCCAGGAGGAGTTTCTCACATTTTTATTAATGTAATGTTCTTCAATCTCTTGAAACTTTTTGTCCATATGCTCTCTTTTCTTCCTCCTACACACTAATCCTCCCTAGTATTTACCAACCTGCTCGTTTAAGTGCCTTTTTAGTCTTCTTCTGATATTGGCAAGTACCTTATATGTTACATCCAAAAGAGTCATACCCCTGTAGTTTTCGCACACTACTTTATCTCCAGTCTTATGAATTGGACATACTATCTCCCGCGACCAGATTGTCCATTGCTGTCTGTACTTTTATCGTTTTTGATGCTACATATAATTTCTCTTATTTCTTTCGCAGTAGGAAAAATTTTCTCCATTGCTATGGTCATGTCGTTGACTACCTCTGCCATTTCCACTTGCACCTCATCATTTGCATCCAGTTCTCATCAAGCAGCTGTCTTAAATACTCTTGCCATTTATCTAGATTCTTCTTTACTATTGTAATAATTTTGTTTTTCTTGCGCCTTGGTCACTGCTCTGTTTTCTCTTGGTAGAAGTTTCTCACATTTTTATTAATATAAGTAATGTTCTTCAATATCTTGGAACTTTTTGTCCATATGCTCTCTTTTCTTCCTCCTACACACTTTTTTGTCATGTCTTCTCTCTGCTTCATACTCATTTCTATTTTCGTCACTTGGTTTGTCCATATATTTTAGTCTTAATTCGTTTTGTTTGTTAAGGCTTTTCTTGCAATCGGCATCAAGCTATTCTTTATCTCTTCCCTTATTTACTTGACTTAACCGCTTTTGATCTGTTTCCTTCATAGCTTTTTCTAATATTCCCCACTCCATTTCTATGTTACCTTGATTTTCGCTTTAAAGTAGTTTTGCTGAGACGTCTGCCTGCAAGTTGTTTCTTAGTTTGGTGACGTCATATTTTTTATACGATTTTCTCTGTTCTCTGACCTTCGGGAAAGTTTCTCTCTACATTTTATGATCATTAGTATGTGATCAGAATCCGCGTTTTTACCTTTTTTTCCTTTACTGGCCTACAAGTTTCTCACAGTTTGCAGAGAGTATCACTGTACTATGCTTTTCCAAGGTCGACTAGCAACAGATTTCGTTTTTGATTTGGAGCAATTTTCTTTTCGATTATTTGATACAGAAAAGACATGGTCTATTGTCGACATTCAACTTGTTTTTCAGTTTTCATTTCCTAGTAATCCTGATTTCGTTTTAAATTTTCTATATGGTATACTGATAGTACCTATTTAAAATGTGTCAACCGTTTTCTTTACATGCCTTCCAAGAATCAGTACCACGTTGTTTTGACAAAAACAAATTGAATGAAGAACTGGATATGCTATTTAATGAATTTTCCGTGATTATATTAGACTAAGTGTATATTTAACCTGCTTTTCTTGTGATTGTTAATTCACACGTAATTTTGTACAAACCTTTTTAATCGGACGGAAGGCCAGTGGTGTCATGTTACCTTAAAAATTGTAAAAAGTAAATATATTCAAACATTTTAGGATTATTATGCATATATTAGGAATACAAAGATTTAACACAGTTTGCCTATATTCATACTTTATGTTTGCTAGCCGATACACAATGCTTAATGTTTAAGTTCCTTCTTCAAAAAACTTTTGTCTGTGTTGAAATTGAGTGAGTTTTAATAATATTCCCTTGAAGTTTATATTTTGACTGAAAATCTGCTATATACGATCTTTATTTGGTTATTAAAAAATAATACATCAGAACAAAGTTAAGAAACTTAGCTGAATTCAAGAAGTAACAACAAAAATTACTTAATTTAGTTAAGATTCTTTCCTAACGAAGAAAGTTCAAACAGCTTTTAAAGCATGAGTTTTTCAGTAGTCTATCTTCAATATTTTAGTCTTTATTCTATTTTCTTTTAGAGTATCTTACCAAAAAACAACATCGTGTTCATATGAAATCGTAGGCTTCCACGGCCGGAGTCAGAATTATAGTTTATTCGTCTTCCGGGTTTGGACCGTGTCATTTGTGAGTGACCCAAAAGTGGGTTCATCTCGACGTTTCGCTACAATTGTATGTAGCTTCTTCAGGAGAACAAAGAAAAAGAAAAAGATAAAGAAGACAGGAAGATGGGTAGTTAGCAACGGTAACTCTTGTTATAAAACATCACATTTCCTCTTCATCTTCTTCCCAAATTCTACATCGAGCCAGCCTATCTCTACTTCGTGAACGGATTCAACATATTCGAAAAACCCTTAATTTTCAATCCCAAAAACTTTTCAAGCTGAGGACGACAAATTCAGAATCTTCGGGTAATACTCCTGTGGCTTTTCTTCCGTATATTCGAAGTGTCACTGATAGGATTGGCAAAATTCTTCGCAAAGAAGGTATCAGGACTACTTTTCGACCTCCCAAGAAAATCTCACAATATCTACCCTCTCCTAAGGACCCATTACCGCCCTATCTTCCTGTGGGGTCTATTCTATTCCTTGTTCATGTGGACATGTGTATATTCGCGAAACTGGTCGGTCCGTCAAAACTCGGATTCAAGAGCATCAAAGATGCATTCGATCAGGTCTTTTCTCCCATTCTGCAGTTGCAGAACACTGCCAAGAAACAGGTCATTCAATATTGTTCGAAAAAACCCATATTATTTCTAAGAGCCCCTTCTTTTATTCCAGGAAAATCCGCGAATCTCTAGAGATCCGAAAAATCCACATAATATCAACCGAGAGGAAGGATACTACTTGTCTCCCATCTGGAATCTCAGTCTAGAGCCGCCGTCCGGTCCCGCTACCACGATGCAGCCACATGATTGGCCAGCGCGCGCTTCTTGACGTTCGCGTTACGGAGTGTGCCGATACGTCCCGACACGACAGGTCACCGGGACTATAAATAGAGCTGTAGCGGAGTAATCGTCGGATTCACTCCCCGCCTCTCGACGCGTTAGTGTTCTGAGCTGTTGGACGTGAATCCCTGTCCTGACATTTGGTTTTCACCTCTGGCTGCGTTGAGTAGTTGAGTTACTGTGACCAAATGCCCATCTTGGTAGTTAGTATTCGCCTCTGGTTGCGTTGAGTAACTGAGTTACCGTTGCTAACTACCCATCTTCCTGTCTGCTTTATCTTTTTCTTTTTCTGTGTTCTCCTGAAGAAGCTACATACAATTGTAGCGAAACGTCGAGATGAACCCACTTTTGGGTCACTCACAAATGACACGGTCTAAACCCGGAAGACGAATAAACTATAATTGTGTTCATACATTGAATACGAAAGAATCAAACTTTCGAATTTCCTTTTTATTTGATATTTGTCTCACTATCTTCTACACATGTAGTACCAGCAATAGTTCCTTGTTAATCGTTTAGTAAGTTATCAACCTTTTTGTCCAGCATATATACAGACCTTCCGTGGACTAGTATTTCAATGGCAACCTTATAACATTTCAGGCCTATTTTCTTCCCAACATCATATATGCTTATTTATTATGGGCTTTTAGACTATTTTTTGTGTTTCTAATATTATTTCGAATTGTTCTTTCCATTCATTTAATTTTTTATCTAGTTAGGTATTGTCCCC